GAACAATTTTATTTGTATTAGCCATTTAAGATGTTATTTATTGAACTATAATTTTACTTGTATGTTCTGTTTGTACATTTGAATATTTCGACAAGGATTTTGTTTGTGGTCTAACTTTATATAAAAAAAATGTCAATGCAAAGAATTTTGAAAATTTGTACAAACTTACACTTTCCCTCTCTCACAAAACTTGGCCAAATTAACTTTTATTGGTCAATGGTAGTGGACTTTAGACTATAATTTAAATTATAATAGTTGTGTGAAACTTCTTTTTGCTAACACAAAATATTCCTATGTAATTTTCCTAATCTAAATAATTTCATACTAATAAATATAATTGGTAAAACCCGACCTTCAATGATAAAAAAAAAAGTTCAATTCATATGACTTAATTTTATGGAACAAGAGGGGAACAATTTTTTGTTGTGGTTTGAAGCTATTTTGTTTGTGCCAGACATTTAGGAGGCGTTTACTTCGCTGCTAAAGTCACAATTAGGTTAGTAAGACAGGTGAAGTAAACACGCACGATGTTTAAAAAGCCGCTTACTAACCGAAATAGGTGCTTAAAGTGTCGCTTACTAAGCATATCACCCTCATGTATTAATTAAGCGACACTTTAAACTTTTTTAGTTTCTGAATTTACCTCTTGCCCTTACTTTATTGTTACCCCCTACCCGCCCCTACCCTACTACCCCGACCCCACCCTAACCCACTACCTCCATCCATCCCCGTACCTTACCCCTACTTGACCATTAACCCGCCCCCCACCCCGTGTACCCCTTTTCCCTACAACGACCCTACCCCGCCCCACCCCCACCTCGGCTCCACCTCAATCCATACCCTACCCCCACCTCAGCCCCACCTCGATCCATACCCTACCCCTACCTCGGCCCCACCCGACCCGACCCCACCCCTACCCTACCCCACCCTACCTTACCCTGACCCCACCCACCACACCCCAACCTAGGCCTTTACCCCCAACCCCCCAACCCCCACCACATCGGCCCCACCAGACCCCACCATATCCTATCCAAACCTACCCTACCTTACCCCGACCCTAACCCCTACCCTACCTACCCGACCCCACCCCACTCACCCCCCCTTACCCACCCACCCCCAAACCCTAGGCCCTTACCACCTACCCCAACCCTACCACATCGGCCCCACCCTACCCTACTCCCTAAACCCTGCACCACCCCTACCCTACCTTACCCCACCCCACCCTAGGCCCCCTACCACATTGGCCCTAACCCTGACTCCACCCTACCCCAGCGGGACCTTACTCTAGGCCCTTACTATACCCTACCCCAGCGGGACCACCCCCGACCCCACCCCTACCCTACCCTACACCTTACCCTTAGGCCATTTACAACCCTACCACAACACCCTACCACTACCACATTGGCACCACCCTAACCCCACCCCTACCCTACCCCTTACCATTTACCTACCCCAACCTTCTACCCCCTACCACGTCGGTCCCACCTCCCACCCCACCCTTCGTGGGGTAGGATGGAGGTAGGGTGGGCCAGGATCTGGATGGAGCCGAGGTAAGGGCATCTGGTAGGGTGGTAGGGGGTGGGGTACGGTGGTAAGGGATGGGGTGGGGTTGGGGTTGAGATCAAGGTGGGGCTGAGGTAGGGCAAGTGGTGTATTGTGGGTGGGGTGGGGTCGGGGTTAGGGGTAAGGTAGGGTAGGGGTAGGGTAGGGCCTGAGGTCAGGGTAAGGTAAGGTAGGGTATGGGTAGGAGGGTAGGAGTGTATGGTAGGGGGATAGGGGCTAAGTGGGTGGTGTGATAAGGGCCTAGGGGTAGTGGTGGGGTCAAGGTAAGGTAGGGTAGGAGTATCGTAGGTTAGGGTGGGGTTGGGGTGGGGCTGATGTGGCAGGGTGGTAAGGACCTAGGGAGTATATAGGGGCATGGGGGTTCGGTAGGGTCGGGGTAAGGGGTTGGGGGTATGAGTACACATAATACTTGTGTTAATGAATGCTTGTGTGTCTATATATGTATAGAGTTATTTTGGACATTTTAATGCTAAACGATGTTTTAAACCTTTTGAAGTAAACACGATCTTACAACGTTGCTTATTTTATGTGCCGCTTATTAACGCGGGTCTTAATAAGTACTGTTTAGTAATCCGTAAAATAAACATGTCATTAGTCTTTGCACGTTGGATTTTTCTTCGTGACTTTTTATGTGGTGCCTATCTTTACATAAAATTTGTCAGTGCGAAAGATTTTTTATATTTCTACAACAACTATACAACTTTAATTTTTGGCTCTGTCTAAATCATTTTTAGTTTGTGGTATATATTTAGAATATCTAAAATTGGATTTTTTTAGTGATTTTTTTATTCCTATTTGTGGCCTAACATTTTATAAGCAAAAAATTTCCGTCTGAAGTTTTTGAAAAAGTTTACAGAAAGTATACAATATTTTTGACATGTCTTAAACACTATTCTACATTTCTACTATGTTAGACGTTTTGTTGTATATAAATTTGGATTTTTCAAACCAACTTTTTTTTGTAGCCCAACTTCACAAAGTATAGTGCAAAGAATTTTTTAAGTTTGTACAAAAATTAAAAAAAAAATAGTAGCCTCCGTAACGTTTTTTGTGTGTGCTATGCATTTTTGGTTTATAATAAATTTTATTCGACCGAATTTTTATGGCTTAACTTTTTTATCATCATCAAATCCAACTCTTATATCAAACCATTAGAAAGCGGATCGTTACAACAGACTGAAACAGACCAATCCTACAAAAATTGTCCCTAACTAACTATCACAATCAACCATATGGCTAGACTCTGAGACGATCACTCATGAAAGAGCAATGTGAATCGCTAACCACCAAGCGGGTGTGACACAAAAATTATTGGCCATATGGATCCTTGTAATGACATGATATCTAACACAAAAGACCCAAAATTAAAAACCTCAACAAAAAACGAAACACCGTGAATAAACATGACACGAAAATAAGACCAACAAAAATAGAAAAACTGACAAATACTCCAAACTTCTTGAACTTTCATCTTCATAACTTTCTCTAAATTTATGGCTTAAGTTTAGAGATAAATTATTGGAGTGAAAAGTCCTGAAAATATGTAAAAAATGTTCAATTTTTATCGCATCTTAATTCTCAAGTTGTAATGTTAATCGTGTCAAGATTACCAAAAAAAAATGTAGTATACAAATATACAATGTATGTATGTGGGAAATTATTGAGGCACTAAAACTCTAAAAGTGCTACTCCTGAATTATGTTTGAATGTATACAAATATACAATGTAATATTATGTAAATGTTATTATGTAAAAGTAATATATTTGACTCTGTAAATAAACAAGGATAAAAATAGTTGCATTAAACAATAAAACATTGAAGATAAACTGCTTAAGAAAAGAAAATAGAACAAGAATAGATATAAAAAAAACTTTTGTGTGCATTCAATTCTAACTATTGTGATATATGTTCTACGTTAAATGATACTCCGTAACTTCTTTAATTGGTTTATGACTCGAAATTAAAACTCTTTAAGACACTCACATTAATAATATCAAACCACAATATACTCGACATAAACAATTATTTAATTTCCTATGTTAAACTTTATAACCAAGTTTTAGCTAAACCTCGCAAGAACTCTCTCTCACCTAGGGTTAATCTTTAGATAATTGTGGTTCGTACCCATCCCCTTATGCCCAGACTTACACTCATCCCCGTGAGAAGCTATTTGTTTGTCTGTGAATCCTGTTCGCAGATAAAATAGACATGTTTTTGTTTTTGAAATTTTCATAGACAAAAACACATTTGTTTCATCTCTGAACGAGATTGACAAACAAAAAAAAACAAGATTTACAAGGATGAGTATAAGGGTGGATGTAAGTGTGGATACTAATAGCAAAGTTGTAATCTTCAATGGCGCACTTGAAGTATAATTTACAAATTGAAGTATGGTCCCAATTCGATCCTCCAACAAAATATGTTGAAGACTACTTTAACTCATTTCTCCTTCAATTCAACAAACATTGCTATTAAAGTAACGAATTGTGAGTTATATTATTTATCTTTTGATAGCTACCTGATTACATCGAAGAGCTTAGAGAGAAGAGAGAGCTAATAATGGCAGAGAAAGAACACGTAATAAATGATTTCCCAACCCCTACGACTACCCTCAAAGGGAGTATTTATAGAGGATAAGTGGGTTGGGTCCCAAGGTATTGGTCCTGGGAGGCCCTATTACAATTATGGATCACTAATGGGTCGTTTTACATGTGGTCTAACCCGCTAAGGGGTGTACATGTTTATCTGCCTCCAATGGGTCCGAGGTGCTGGTGGACAAGCCCTCCAGTGGTACTGATCCTCCGAGGTGTTCTTCCGAGGGCTCATTGCCGAGGGGATGATGCAGACAGGAAATCCGCCTCTTCATCCTGGACAGGGCCATCCAGGTGGGCCCAATGTTCCTCATGTTATTTTGGGTCGTCCATATGTCCGAGAGTGTGTGGGCCATAGTTCTAGGCCTATATACTCCATCATCTCTCTTATTCACAACCTCCTATCACACGATATTTATTTCCTCCATTCTTTTTTAGTTGTAACATTCCTTTTTTCACGCTTGTCTATGCACAACTTTGACCATCATTATATTTAATTCTCTATTAGTAAAAAACTTTTAAAAATCAGATTATGAAACTTTGTAATGAGATAAAATTAACAATATTTTTCAAAAATAATAATTCACATATATTAATAAATAAATTTAGTCAAAGTGGAATACATGAATAGTGTGTAAATTCCAATGTTGCAACTATTATAATACGGAGGATAGTATTTTCTTATTCCACTGCAAAACCACTTTTAAGAGATGGTTGGAATACTGGAATACTACTTTTCATATTACAATTATTATTGTTCATCAATTACGTTGTGCACTTGAAACAAGAATTTTTAATTAGTATATTCAAATCTGGTTTGATCCTATTTAGTCCAGTTTGATCTTGTATGTTCTCATTTGATTTGTTTTCTGTCAACTTTATTAATTTAGACCAAGATCCTTATGTTAATAGGAATAATTAAAAACGGACTAATGTTGCTTCCAATAATTAAATTAACATGTATAAGGGGAAAAGTACTTTTTTTGCTAGGGTACATACAAAACTGATTGTCCTCCCATCAAGGGATGGGAGTGTTAAGAGTAGAACGCTGGTAAGGAAGCTGTTGACAAGGACGATCAGGAACCCCCTCTTCCGCACGCCTTTCTTCAAACCATTTCACAACTCTCTTGCGTGGAAGATTAGTGACATGCACAATGCTGCTAATCATGGCATTCTGCATTTTTGTTTAATCGTTATAAATGGAAGTATCATTATGTCAGGGTAAAAAGCATGATACACGAAGCAGAAGTAGATATTGGAGTGTCTGGCTGATAATGCACAAGTACTTCTAGTTGCTCCAAATTGCTCCTAGAAGCAGATCTTAAAGGCTGGGGGATATAAGCTTCTCAAAAACTGATTCTGATTCTGCATTTAAAAAAGCAGCAGAAGCAGAATCAATTCCAAACACCCCCGTAAAACATTAAAACTACCTTCATAGACTGGCTTCCTATATAAGAGTTCTATGAACTATTAATATAAACTAATAGAAAGAGATCAGAGTAGTCTCATAGGTCAATTATTTGGATATGAAGATAAGATGATACGATGTTCATGTACCATTGCAGTATTTAGCCATGCAAAGCACAATCCCCTACATTCTAATGTTAGAGTGTACTTTATCAAATCGGAGCTTCATTAAAATGACTCCGATAGTCTGCACATCACATTTCTTGCAAATGATCATGGGTCAGTTTGGGAGTGGTTTTGGGAGGATTTTGAGGGGAAGCATTCGGAGGACAAACTGCATTTGATGTTTTTTTAAATTCAAGAAATTACATAATTAATGATAACGCATTATTTTGATCCCAATTATTCATTTTCACAAATATTTCATTTACCAAGATGAGACCTAGCCCTCCACTCCCCCTTCATCCACGCAGACCCCAAAGCCTAAGGATTCAAATTATACATGAGCACCATCCATTTAGCGAAACATTATACTGCATACTTGATTATTGGGACACATTCAGAAATAGCATTACTCACAGTGGGTCTCTTAGATCGTCCATAAACTTGTTCAAGAGTTCCAAGTTGCTTTTTCTTAATTTTCTTTTTAGCAGACCAGTTCTGTTGCATAACGTGAACTGGCAATTCCTCGGTAGTCTCTTCCTTTGCAAAGTCTTCTGTTTTCTCCAGAGGGATGCTAGGAGGTTCGGATATTATTGGAATAGGTTTATCAGGTAAAGTAGCACTCAGCATTAGGAGATGCGGTGAAGGATCCCGGAGTAATTTGAGAACAACAGCTCTGTCGAGACAGAGATCAGCTGCAAGATTTTTTATCTGCATGTAGAGAGTTAGGCAATCGAGAATTAAATCTTTGGAATAATAAATAAAATAGACGAAAGTGTGAAAATATGCACACTTTTATGGTAAAAAAGATGTTTAAAACAAAATACAACATATCACAAACTGCAATTTAGTATCACGTTGCAATACAACAACTTCACCCAATAATAAAATACTCCGTATATAGCAAATACTAACAAAATGAAACGATGGATGCTCATAAGTCATAAGATATAATCAAACTGATATTTTGATGAGGCACAAAACTTGTTACACCAATATAAAAGTTACCATTAAAGTCTCATAAAAATGTTTCTTGGGTCTTTTTTAGTTATCAATAGGAGCCAAGCAGGGAGACCCCTTATCTTCCATTATCTCACCGTCAATGGTGCCTTTTCTTTGTTAATACTTAATAGTAGATTTTATTACTAGCATGACCTTTGCTTATGGAACAATTACTTTACTCAATGGCAGATCCTCCTCCACCACTACCATAAATTTCTTTCTGTCTATCAGCAATGTAATGGCCCGCAAGCTGACCTGGAGAAGAGCTTCTTTGTGACTAGCTCAAAAGCTCACACAAGAAGGATTATGCACTGGCAGGTATTTATTAGTGAATCTATTTAGAAGAAATAAATAATAAGCTACTACAAAGAGATTGATGATTCTTTAGATAACATACTTACAAAATACCAGAAGAAGTTTCTTAATGCTGTTGGTAAGCTAAATCTAAGTGGACATGTCCTATCAGCAACTAAACTCAATGTCATTCTCCGTTTGGAGAAAAAAATACTTCTAAGGAGATTAAGAAGGGAAACAGCCCTTCTGCCTTCATGACAAGTAGGTAATATATTCTAGAGTTTTCCACTGTGAGGAGGTGCGGCAGGTGCTCAATTGACTTTTCAATAATGAGAAGAATTCTCTCTATTCATGTGGCAGCAAAGGAATTGATAGCTTCAAATGATCAGCACTGTTTGATATGTGTTCCATTAAATGCTGGTTGCTTCACTCTATCTTCATCATATGATGCTCTATTAGATCTAAGACTTCTTAGCTGTTATCCTTTTGATATGTCTGGAGATGGAGTATGTCAAAACAGGTCGCTAACTTCATGTGGAGCTATTCGGTGGCTATCTTGGTTTTCCAGGTCAATTAAGGAAACTTGGCTTCCACCCTGCTTCCATTTATTTATTCTGCAATAGGGCAACAGATTATAATGAGCATTATTAGCTCATGTATGAGTCGAGTTGCAAGGGTCTAGTCAATGGTGCTTTTTCAGAACCATTTTGTTCCCCACCTCAGCACTCTGTGCTGAGGCTGACGCCTGGTGCATAGCTCTGGAATGCTTGTTCACTAGGACTGTGTCAATCTTCAAGTCAATAACTGATTCTCTGCTCCTGGTTTGCTGTTCTAATTCATCTCTTTCACTAGTGCTTGGAAGCAATCTGCAGCTCTGGTTCGTACTATTAATCACATGCAACGTCTCCAGGCTTCTCTTCACCATGTTCATAGGCAAATTCATGCCCTTGTACATGCTATTGGTCAAGTTGGGAAATCTAATATTGCATGTTCTCACTATCCCTCTAAATTATCTTATCCCACTTCTATAACTCCGCTAAACAGGCTTATAATTCGGCTCTTTTGGGCTTTCGAGATATCAAGCTACGTAATAGCCAGAAGTGTTCATTCTTAATAAAACCTCACTTTTATCTTCTATTTAAAGACTAATCTGATGCAGGGAACAATCTATTCAGCTCAAGTATCTCAGTCTTAATGGATACTCAATTCATATACTTCTTTATTATGCATTTAGTAATGTTATAATTCGGCTCTTTTGGGCTTTCGAGATATCAAGCTACGTAATAGCCAGAAGTTCATTCTTAATAAAACCTCACTTTTATCTTTTATTTAAAGACTAATCTGATGCAAGGAACAATCTATTCAGCTCAAGTATCTCAGTCTTAATGGATACTCAATCCGTATACTTCTTTATTATGCATTTAGTAATGTTATATCTTCATACTCTACCTCTCCAAAATAAAAGCCTAAACAAAAATTCAGATATTAGTATATATCTAAAAGTTGAGTGAAGGGATAATTCACAAGCACAAGGACCCAAAGGTTGTGGGCTAACACAACAGGAGTAGCCATTACCATAAACTAACCTTAAAGGTTAAAGAAACATCACGTATTCAGGGAGATCCAAACTCTAATAATGTGGGTTTACAACTCACTGCTCAAACGCATGAGCCACGCCCCCTTGGTTGAGATATGAGTGCAGTATGCATTGTCATCAAAGAATGGAAAATTGGCATTTTGGTGAATAACCTGAGCAATATTTCTATTGGTTCATGTAGCTGAACACATTAAGTTGGGATTAAAGCTTGGTTATTGTTATTGTAGGCAAAATTTTAATTTGAGAATCCTATATACATGTTGTTCTTCATAAATAATGAAGAACTAACATATTAAAATTGGTGAATAAGGGTAGAAACCCATATAAAACACAGAAACTTTAAATATGGGTTCCCACTTTTTTATACTTCGTACTGACGAGGCAAAGTAATAAGGGACACCCACATGTTTTTCAAAACAACTCGAAAAGAATTCCCATTGTCTAACTTGGAAGAGTATCCTCCAGTTCTTAATAATTTGATGGTTCTGCCCACTCATCTTGATTCATATTGGTTGTCAATCATATCCATAACTATGATAACTTTCAAGACATCCCAGAAAAGAACTAGGGCATTATGCAGATACTATGAGTGAAGACTGATCCATATGAGACTGAACATTTAATTTGAAAGGGGGAAAAACAATAGAATCTTACACTTGTCTTACGTCGACCATTTTTTAGGGCATAAGCCAGTCTCTTGAGTTGCCAGTTTTTCAATTGTACTGGGCTTTCGTATTCATTATCTTCATAACCTTTTACTGATGCATCTACATCATCATCATCATCATCATCATTATATTCTTCTTTGTCTTCTTCTTCTTCTTCTTCCTCTTCTTCGTCTTCTTCTTCTTCTTCTCCTTCTCCTTCTCCCTCTTCAAGTCTCAGATCAACTTCATGTTTTATTTCCTGATTTTCCTCATCCAAAATTGATTCAACGTCTCCTGATAGGTTATCACCTTTTAGAGCCTCTTCCAATTCACGTTCGAGGTTTGCAAGGTCTTCCTCTGTTATTTCACTATCAACATCATCCATAGAGAGATCATCGTTTTCCAAATCTTTTTCAAGCTGAAGAAAAAGCGTCTCAACAGCATCTTCACCTAAATCATCATCTGTCTTGTCTCTCTGAGCCAAACTTCGCTGCATTAAACAAAACTCAAGCATAAAGTTTGCAAGTATTTCTACCAGCAACCATGTAGGTATAATAATAATCATCATCATCATAACAACAATAATATAAAATACAATACCAATTCCATTGTTCAGAGATCAGGTATCACCATATCAAATGGTCTTTCACTCAATGAAACCAAACAAAACATGACACACATGAAGGGTCAGGGATTTCCAGCCTTCATTCCTAATTGGACTAATACTTGACTAGTTCAAATTCATTCCGAAGAAACTCAACCAAAACCCCCTAAAGATATGCAACTTTAAACAAAATTTACATCCATCTTAACCAGGTTGTATAAAACAAAACTTCTTTAGCAACTTCAATCAGCTCATAAACCATTGTGACATTATGCCGGGCTATGAAATCAATCTAATCCCAAAATAATACAAATCGATAAAAGTTTATGTTTTAGTGGTATGCTGTCATCTCATAAAGATAAGCTTCACGTGATAGATGCTAAAATGGTGTTTTCTCCAGAGAATTGCGAGTACAAACACACACACACACACACACTATCTCTAGATAATCAAACAATTAAAGATTAAATTTTCTTTCGTCCAATAAAATGAAAGACCAAAGAAGATAGTTATACGGAGTAGATGATATAGTGGAGAATGGATTTTCTCTTGCCTTTTGTTTCTTCTTATTCGAGGGAGCGGCAGCAAGGCCGTGGTGGTCGCTTCGCCTGCGAGAGAAGGTGAGAACAGAAGAAGAACGGTGACGAGGGGAAGGGAGGTTGGTTCTGCTACAGGGCTGGTACACTGAGAAGCCGTTGATATGGGAACACCGAAGCGTGATGGAAATGTGCAGAGATGTTGAAGCAGCCATAGCCAACTTTCTACTTCAATTTTCCATCCTCGTCTGAAATTTTATTTTTAATTTTTTATAATGAACTGAGCAAATAGATTCCGAACTACTTCCTCCGCCCTCGCTACCATCCACTGTTCCTCTCCCACATAAGTAATGATTAGTTGATATTCAAATCACATGTGACAATTTGAGTGGAACGAGCTTAAAAGATAAATGAAACAATCATCAACTCCATCTTAAATTGCCAACCATCAACTCCATCTTAAACAAAACTCATACCCCTTTGGAAATTATTTTTATAAAACAATTTTTAATGAATTATTGGTTGAGTTAGGTCATAAATACAAAAGTAACTTGAAAAGGGTATTATAAAAAAAGGAGAATTTTGCCTTATATAGGACTAAAATGTCAATGAAATTCTAAAATAGGAGTATGTGTATTTGTATTCCCTAAATACTCCCTCCGTCCCTTGAAACTTTGCCAACTTTCCTTTTTTGGATGTCCCATTAACTTTGCCACTTTCCCTTTTAAGTAAAGAATTTGTGGTTCCAGTTAATTCTCTCTCTTCTGCACAAACCTCAACCACACAGTTTTTACTTTATTAATCCCCGTGTCAGTCAAACTTGACAAAGTTTTAAGGGACGGAGGTAGTAGGACTTTTCATCCAAAATTGCCCTTCTTTTATTTCCTTCACTCACGCACACCGACCATCGGGCTAATCATCTTCTTAGCTCAAATCTTCTCCGTCAATCTTCTATTTTCTTCTTCACCCCTTCTCCGTCATTCTTCACCATGTAATCTGACCTCCTCCTCGTCTTCTATCATCCGCTCACAATCTCTCTCAAATAAGGTTGCAAGTCGGCGAACCTCTGAGTGTGGCGAGCGGCGGCGAGCCTTTCTTCTCCTGTCATCATCTCCAGCCTGCAGCGAGTAGCGACGATGACTAGCAAGAGCTTCAGGAAGTAGTGAATTCAGATTTGGTGCAGTAAAGTATCTCGTTTTCACAATCCTTCGTTCTCCTCAGCCTCTTCTTTTATGGATCTGCCTTCCAGCTTTTCTATTTCGTTGCCTAGTTGAGAAAAATTTGAGATGTTGTTTTGGATGTTCTTGGTTAGAGAAAAATGCCAAGTTATTATCTGATGCCATCAAAATGACATTTTTTCGCTTCAAAGTTTCATCTTTTTCTTGGAAAAGCCATTAAGATGGTATTCTCGTTTCATGTTGGAACATTTGTAGAAATGTTGGCATCAACGCCGACGGCGCCCAGATCTGCAGCGGCGGGGGTCGAATTTGCAGCAGTAGTTGGACGTGTAGAGGTGGTGACTGACGACTGGCGTCCGCCAGATCTGGGAAGATCTACCAGTGGTGGCTAGATTTGCAGCAGCGACGATAAGATCTATATTGCCGACAGTCAGATGTGCAGCGGCGGTCAGTTCGGCAGCGGCCGACGACGGTGGCGGTGGTAGTGGCCAGGGACTGGCGGCGGTCGGCGTTCTGTTGGCGACAACAAGTTATGCCAAGCTTCAGGGTATTTAGGGAACTTGTAAAACTTTGCTCCTATTTTAGCAATTAGTGATTTATTATTTATCCCTATTTAATTAAATCCCCCAAGGAAACAATATTGTGCAAAAATGTGTATTACATATACAAAAATATTTTTTTGGTTGTACACCTCTTGTTTTTACATTAATCCTTCCCATTTTTTAACTCCTCTTCCCTCTTCTCTAACATGAACACCTCTCTTTTTTCTTTCTTTTTTTCTTTCTTTCCTTTCTTTTTTCTCCTTCATCCTCATCTTCTTTTCCTTTTTCTTTCCTTCGCTCTACTTTTTTTCTTTTTACCTTTTACTCACCATCATCTTCCATCGTCATCTTCATTATTATCTTTCAACATATTTTCACCGAAAAGTTGTTGTTTGAGAATGACCGATAACTTGTTGGAAAGTCACGGAAAATTAGAGTCACCCGATTTTTGTCTTTATGTTACTAAATAGTGATAAATATTGTCTATAATGAAAGATGAAATTAAAAACTAATGACATGCTATAAACTTCGTCATTGAAAAAAAATATACGTACACATACACTGGTTTTCTTCCAGTGTCTGTGTACACATACAAAAAATGTTTAAAAAAGTTAGAGTTAGATTATATTGAAACAAATGTTTGTATACACATACAAAAATTGTATATGTGCACACATTTTTTGTCTATACAGACAACTAACAACTAATGTATGTGATTGTACACTGACATTGATTTTCGTGCAACCACCATGACAGATGCACAAAAAATGTACACCAATAAGTGTGATTTATACACAAATCAATTTTTGTTCATACAAACAATTTTGCAAAAGTGTCTATATTGATATTTTTCGTATGGTGAATTTAAAAAAAAAATAAAGAGGTTGCAACTCAAGGTTTATACAGAGATTTTTTCCATATTAATGTTAATTAATCAATTAATTACGAAAATAGGGTTGGGTTAAAATTAATTACCAAAATACTGCTGGGTTAACCATGGTCGGGGTAAGTCGCCCAACGGTTGGGCGACTTAATCTTTAAGTAAAAACGGGGTCGGGGCAAAGAAAGACAGAACACTTCCTACCCAAAGTGAAGAGCAGCAGCAGCGACCGACGAATCCCCCCACCAGCAGCGAGCGACGACCGGCGAATCTCAAGCTCCGGCGAGGTCTCCTCCATCTTCCCAAGAATCCTTCATCTCCATCCTCTTCAACACTCTTTCTTCTTTCTTCTAGGTAAATCAAAATTCATTTCATCTCATATTGAACTTAGGGTTTTGAATGTTTGAATTTTCGAATTTTTAGATTATGAATTGATTGTGAATTCAGTTGTTATGAAATGTGGATATGTATGAAAGCTTTAAATTTGATTTAAATTTGATTGGAAATTTTAATGTGTATTTTGACATTTGGGCATTTTGGTAGATTTGAATGTAGCTAAATTTGGGTATTGAAATGTAGACTTGAATGTAGATATAAAAATTTGGGTAATTTCATATTTAAATGTGAATTGTTTGTGAATTTTGACTTTTGGATATATTACAATTTTGGTAGTTTTTTCTATTGAAAATTTGAATGTGTATAAAGTGTGTATATTGATGCCTACTCATAAATGTTGGACAATGAATTGTTATTAGAATATGGATTTCTCAAGCTTCCCAATCGTGTGTCATTGGGGAGGGAACTATTATGAGGATGTTGGGCAAATATGCCATGAAGGTAGTAGAACCAGCTTTGTCATGGTTTCTCGTGATGCTTGCATGCTCGAGATTCTACAAAAAAATACATGCAGCCACAATGATTCATCCTAGTTGTTCTTTGCGGTTGAAAATGAAATTTCCCATGAACGGGGGAAAGTACATGCTTATGCCCCTCATTGATGAGTGTTGGTCCCGATTAATATGGTAATCAGTCTAGAGGGGGGGGGGGGGGTGAATAGACTGATTGGTTTTTCAAATTTTCTCTAAGTCCAAAATGACTTATCAGGGAATGTCTGATTCTGGTGACAGAGAAAGGCTGGTTCTGATATCAGAACTGGCCTTGGCAGCGGATCCTGATCTGTCCGGGTAGCCTCAGAAACACTAAGGCAAATGCCTTTCTGATAACTCTGAAGACAAGATCTGCTGAACACAGATTCCAAGTCTTAGAGTTAATCAGTTAATGTCCTAAGTGCAGAATTATAAATTGCAGTAAAGTAAATGACACCGGATATTTTTATAGTGGTTCAAGGAACAACTCGTTCCTCTAGTCCACTGTTCCACTAGCTTTGAAGTAGATCAGTTACAAAGCTAATTCCTAGCACTTAAGAAGCACTCCTCGTCTTCTTCAAGCCTAGATGCCACCCAGGATGCAATTCCACGTCCTGATGGCTGATCCTTTCACTCAGCTTCCCGGAAGTATCACCACTTCACTACTGCAGTTACTTGGACGCCCTTCTTTTCAGAAGATCCTTTTGAAAAACAGAGTTTTTCCTCCAACTTGCTTCGTTACAAAGGATGTTTGATGAAGTTCTTGAAGTGTTGAAGAACAGGATGAACTTTGCTTGATTGTTGGGGATGAGAGATTTGGAGTTTGAATCTTCCCAACTTAAGCTTGTCTTTTTGAAGTTTGTAGAATTTGAATCTTAAGAAAGCTTGAATGATGATGAGCAAAAGTTGTAGCAAAGTTATTTTCCAGTTCTTCGGTGTGTAGCTTATATACTGAGGTTGTCTGCCCGTTGGAGGAGGAGACAACTGCATTAAATGCGCGTACAGTTGACTTGACCGCCGTTTTTGGAAGGTTTCTATTTTTAAAATATATCTTCCCGGATTTCTTGGTCAATCATTTGCAATCAATCCTTCAGCGTATCAGGCTCTTTTAATGTGCATTAAATGCTTTCCTTTCATGCACAGTCTTGTAGCCGTTGGATGTTTTTACCCGTTGAATTCAGAGCTGTTGGATGTTGCTTGAGATTTTTCTAAGTGTTCGTCGGGCTCTGATCAGGCTCTTCTGATATGTTGGATTCTGATGGCTTTCTGATGAGTTGAGTTCTGATGGAGTTCTGATCTCTGACTGAACTCTGACTCTGATAGGTCCGCTGATGAGTACTTCTGATCTGTAGTTCTCATCGGCTATCAGATGTCCAGGCTTATCAGCAACTCTCATGATGCAACTCTGATGGACTTCTGGTAAGAGAACTCTGATGGAGCACTTCTCACAGAGAGCAAGTCTGGTCGAGCAGTTCTGATGCACTTCTGATCTGATCCAAAATAGAGCAACTCTGATCGTCGACTACACTAATACTTACAACTGAAAATTCTAATACATAAAATCTAATTTGGGGGTACTTTAAAATTCTAATCCTATAGCATCATCAAAATCTAATTACATTTATTCCTTACAATTTCCCCCTTTTTGATGATGCCAAAACCCTTAAACTATTTCCAGAGAAGTGCCTTTCACCATAAAAATAAAAAAAACTTTCATTTAAAATCTTGGTGGGCACTTGGCATAGGAGAATAGTAAGAGTAAGATACACTCAATCAGATAAATAAAATAAGAAACTAACATAAGATATCAGAGCATAAATAATCAGAATGCAATAGAGAGATAATTTGAAATTGCCATGCAAATTAGAGGCAAGCTGGTTATCTTATAAATGCAATATATTTAAAACAACAAGAGGATAGAGTTTAGATATCTTCCTCTTCTAGGTCAGCTTCCTTTGCTTCAATTTCTTTCAGATCA